TGGCTGCAGGTGGGAGTTGCCTGCTGGGATCCTGATGTACAGGAACAGGGTGAGGAGGGGTGCTGGGAAGGCTGTCTACGCTGGACTGGGGTGTACCTGGTGGGGTTGTGAACAACCTCTGGGAAACCACCTGAATTTTGAATGCAAAAGATTCTTCATGTATTTATGATGAATACCACATGCACAAGAAATAAAACATGGAACTAATGTAATATTTCAAAAGTTTTGATATGGATTGTTGAAAACAGTAATTTATCAATCTGATAAAAACACCTGTATAGGTGACACACACCTGTCCAATGGCACTCCTTACAGGTGACTGAGCTACCTTGGGACTACTGTGTCTAGGTGGTGCTGATCTCCCCTGCTTGTGTCCTGCTCTCTCCCTCTCTCTAGCTTCCCGACTTCTGTGTCTGAGTTTTCTCTCCCCTCCCCTCTCTGACCTGTCCATGGATTCATGTCTTCTTTCCGGTTTGTATTTCTCTTTGTTGCCCTTCTGTTCCCTGTCAGTTTCTCTGAAACTTTTCTGTCTTCTTCTCTCGTCTGTTTGTTCAAAATAAACCTCAGAATCTTCTGCTGATGTCTCCTCCAGGCTGCCTGATTCCTCAGAGCCCCTCTCTCTTTGTCTCTGTGTTCTTCTGTCTTGATCTGATTCTGATTTTGTTTCTGTAGAAGATGTTTGTTCCCGATACAACTCCCTTCTCCTCTCTCTTGTTCTTCCTCCCTCAGGTGACCTGCTTTGTGTCTTGCGGTCTCTAGCAGGCACGTGATCGTACACTTCTGGATGCGGACATGGTATGATGTCACATTCCAGATGCAGGTGAGGAACAATATCGTCGCTTTCTGCGACCGGCTGCTTTGAGACACCTCGAAGACTCGGGCTTGCGATGGGCACTGTGTCTGCTACTCTCCTTGGAGGAGAGATGTCTAGTTTTCTCGTGTTACCTTCAGATCTAGAGGGAATCGTCTCTTCCTGAGAAGGCACAATGGAGGGCTTTGGTACCTCTGTCTGCGTTGCCTGTTCTGTTGCAAGATGGGAAGGCACTGGTGCATTGTGGGAAGGCCTAGGCACTGCTTCCTGGGTGGGCTCGGGTTGCACTATATCAATCCCAGTGGACTTTGCAAGTCTCTGTCTGAAGGCACTGAGTGGTGTTGTCTGATCCCCATCCTAGTGAAATTCACATTTGAAGAAATGGATGAGAAAACCTTAGAAGGGGTGCTCTAAGGTATAAGGTATAGTGCTGCCCCATGGATGCTCTGGACAGGATGATGGTTACTTACTGCATATTGCACTTTATTCTTTGTTAATTGACACAACTGGTGCATGAATTAAGTCTTAACCCAGGTTGCAACCATTCCCAGATATAGGAGCTAAATTTAAAATTGAAGAGCATACTACAGTACATGTACTAGTATGCTAAACACTGATGGCTTTTGAGGATGGATTTAAATGCATGTGACATCTACAATTAATCTATGGTCAACATTGGGAAAGATCTGATAGTACACAGTGAACCTACCTGTTGTACAGAGCTGAGTCTGACAGGGGGAGATGCACCTGTCCATGGCCCAGCTGCTGCAGACGGCTTCCTCGCCTCCTCCAGCCTCCTGCGCAGCCTCCACTGGTACAGGATGTCGTCTCCATGGTGACGGGATGAAGGAGGCTGCAGCTGGGCACTGATTGGTGGAGCTTCCTCTGGCACATTTTCTTTATCTAAAGAGACATTTTTAAGTCGGTATTAACATATGAAAACACATAAAACATGAATACATTTATATATACATATTTGATTGCTGAGATATATATTTTCCCTGTTAAATCTATATTACACATGATTACTTCCAGATACAGAATCATTGTTTTGAGTGTCTGAGTTGCAGGTTTGTGTCTCTGAATGTTCTAATTGCAATTTTGGCACTTGCTTGACTCATTGAGTCCACAGTTTCAATACAATTACAAGCACATTCATGAAAACCCAGAACATTTCCCAGAGTTCTGTGAGCACACAACATACTTGTATTTAGTTACCTTTAATCACTTTTATACAACATTTTATACTACTAATACATACCATAAAACCGTGGTCCAAATGCAGGTCGATAGGCTGGCTCATCCAGGCTTGTTGGGACAGAGGAAGTGGAGGTATGACCGAGTCCATCTGAGCTGACGGCTGGCTCACTAAGTGCACTGGAACTACAGACAAGGTTTGGCGATTATAATTCATTGTATAATTTGTAACCACAACATTTAATCACAGAGGTAAGTGCTGCAATTCTCAGATTGATGTACTATATTACTGAAAGAATTACTGTGTGATTTACTTTACCTCCTTTCAATCAGCCTCTCTGCTTTCTCCTGCAGAGCTCTGGTCTCCTTCTCAATGGGGGACAGCAGGACAGATGTTGGTGTGGACGTCTAAGAAATACATTTTTGTAAATTCATTGGAAACTGTACTTAAATCCAAAGAGTATTGACTGTATTCACTAGTATCAGTAAATTGTGGGTGGATTGCATTCCATGGTTTTATGCTTGCAAAGATGTTTACTCGTACAAGTATGACTGTAGTTCTAATTTTAAGAAGCAAGCTAGAGAAGTCTTAAAGACCCTATTGAAGAATGATTTTACCAGTGGTTGTTTAGGGGTAGATGGTGACCTGTCCCTTAGTCTTTGTGGACTTTCTCCCCTCCTAGTCCTCCCCCTGTCCCTGAGTGGTCCAGTCCTATCGTCTGTAGGAGTGGATGTACTGGTTGGTGTAGAAGGGGAGGTGGTGGCAGCTGACAGCCACCAGAAGTCACGCTCAGCGGCGGCTTTCTGACGCTTCTCTCTTTCCTCTCGACTCAGGGGCTGGCCGTGTCGGAACCTCTCTATGTATCTGTAAAGATCAGAGATATTAACATGGATTCTCATTTATATATATACGTCACTAGCTCAAGTGCAGACAGCAACTAGAATGGATAGATTCTATCTATAGTACATATAATCTATATCAGTAAGAACAAATATACATATTCTTCTTACAGGTAAAACCTGACAAATCTCACTTAGAAATGGTAGATTCTTCTCCTCCTGTTTTCTTGTCCTCTGGTTTAGAAGGTGGATATAGTCTGTCCATCCTCCCCCTGGCTGGCTGCAGTGCTGGGACCTGACGGTACGGTTGGGAGGAAGAGTCACTGTCCGTAGAGGGCTGCGACACCTCCGGGGTCATCACTGAGGACGGGCGCTCGCTGGACGGCCATGACTCGTCAAACCGCGAGGAGTGCGGACTGGGCGTGTCGTGGGTGGGGACGGTGAACTGGGGAGCAGACCGGAGAAACGCTTCATCCGGGGCCGTCTGTACTGGACGTTCTTCTGTACGCAGTCTGGACGGGCTCAGTGTTATCTGGAAAACAGAATGACTCCCCCTAACAATAGTAACATATCATGTGATTTGTGAATAGATTAGTGAAAGCTAACATATGTAAAATGGTTTATTCAAAACAGAACTGCTTACAAGTACAAGAATCAAATTCAGTCACTTCTGTAAGGTTATAGTCTAACTCTATCCAAAGAGGTTTATTCAAAAGTTCAGTTGTTATACTTCATACTACATGTATTACTACTTCTGGTTTGCAAGTCCGAAAACTACGAAAACCACGCTCTCCTTTTTCAGCACTCGGTTCCAGTGCGGAAAGTGGCTTCAGCACTGGACTTCCAGTGCTGAATGGCCGTCAGCACTGGACTTCCAGTGTTGAGGCGCTCTCAGCACTGGAAAAGCAGGCGTCAGCACTGGAACCCGAGTGCTCAGGCGACATTGCCTACGAGTCAACGGAAGAATATTAATGGGAAGCGGTCTTCCGAGACAACCTACAGAAAACCAGCTTACCAGCCATGCCGCTCTGTGGCTCGGCCGGGCAAACTCTCAAAAGGGCTATATCTATCACAATCACACAACAAAGTTCAGAAATAAAGTTGTTATTGTTATACTAGTTCGTTGTCACTTATACCCGTATTTTTTATTTTCCAAAATTAAGGAAAATAATCACAAGATGCAGTTTTACTATTATGTTATAAAGTTAGCCATAGACACCTTGTATTCTATAATTCAGATTAAGTGGCAGATTCCGGCTTATTTCTTAATCATATTATCTCTCTCAGCACTCACTGTGGGACATGCCAAGACGCCAGCACTGGTTTGAAGAGCGTTCCAGTGCTGAAAGGACGTCAGTACCAGAGCTTAAGACTTTAAAGCACTGGTGTTCCAGTGCTGAATTGTCCCAGAGCACTGGTAAAATTCAGTGCGGAAGGAGTGGTTTTTGTATATGAGCACTCGATCCCAGTGCTGAGGGCGTTTTCAGCACTGGGTAACCAGTGCTGAATGACCTTTGAACCTCTCTGCCGCCATTCTGCTGCGCGTTCAGCACTGGTAACCGAGTGCTGACAGGATTATGGCACTGGAACAACAGTGCTGAAAGGATTTCAGCACTGGAAACCGAGTGCTGAGACAACGTCCAGCACTGGAACACCAGTGGTGAGGGCGCTTCAGCACTGGGGAAAGGCCGTTCAGCACTGGAACACCAGTGCTCGGCTCTCGTCGGCACTGGACGTCCAGTGCTGACGCCGTTTTGTCCATTGAATCAGCACTGGAACACCAGTGCGGAAGGCTTGGCTTTCGTAGACTTGCACTTCTGGTAGTAATACAGCAATGTTCAACTTACTTTCTTTTCCCGTTTGGAGAGTTTCCTCGGTGCTGAGGGGTGGTAGTGAGTTGGCCGGGAGGGAGGCTCATAGAAAGGATCACCACGCCCGAAGACAGCACTGCGCAGGTAAACCATAATATTAGTACACAACTACAATACACACAAGTACATTTATGTACATACAATCTTATTCAGTCACCTCCATAACTTACGTTAGTCCAAGGAAGTCACTACCGAATGTTCGAACCTTTACCTTGCTGTGTCCGAAGAAGACATCAATCCACCTTACCTGTCCAAGACTGAACTTAAACATGACCTGAGGGTTAATTGTACTGCTTTAACGTTTGTTTTGCCACAACTACAGTTGTCTAAATACACGGAAAAGTCCTAAATCGTTGAGAGATTTTGCAAATATTTTTCAAGCGGACCGCCATTTTCTTCTTACTACCGGGGAAAGGTTACGTGACGTCATCCGCGAGTCTCGTTCCCAGAGCACTTGGTGGAGCGCAATCTCAAAGCAGATATTGGAATGAGAAATCGTGACCAGGTGACGCCGAAATTACTAGTATACATTTTTGAATGGTATAGATAAGTCACAGTTTAATCACGATATGTCAAATCAGGCCGTGAAATAAGTCCACGTAAAGCTGACAATAGTATTGAAAAAAAAAAGTGGATGCCACAGATAATAAATAAAAAGTGACAGAATATTTTGAAAGGTTGCTTAGCGGTAATGAAAGAAAGGACGTAACTGGATTAAAGCATCAAAGCAAAGTTTCAAACATTTAAACAGGACTATGTTAGAACGTTAGGTCTGAGCAACCTCCTTGGTCTGAGTCAGTCTGACTGGTGTATTTCGCCGTATCTGCGATGCGGTGGTATTTTTGGTCGCGTCGTTGGGCGGCGCTTCTGAACTGTTCGAGGTAGAACATAAATTTCCACGGTAATATCACTTTGTCCCACCTCTTCCCATAACTGCCTAGGACACCCACATACTAGTACTAGGGAGCACACTCTGACACGGACACAGGAAAATGCAAAGTCATGTATAGAGACCAGAAAAATGTTTGGCCAGCGACAAAAATATTTCAATGGGATGACACCGATTTTTTGTTTGAAATGAAGGTAACTTTCTTCTGAACAGTTTCTAGTCTTGCCGGCCTAGCTGTTGATGACTGCAATTGTTGTGAGGCTGTGAATCTACACTGCAACTGGCCTACACTTATACAGGGCAGACTAGTCCACCTGACACACCATGCACCACAACCATCCTTTATATGAACGACACAGGAGACACAGACTTGTAGTTCCCCATTGAACTTTTATTCAGCCTGTCTTTTCACCATGTACAATGTATCTGTACTAGTAATTAAAATCAAAATAACATCTTCAACAAGTTGATGATCTCCTTTAGGCATATTAGGAATCGCAAATGCTGATGTACTCATTAAAGAAAGTATTTTCACCACAAAATGATGCAAGTTACACATACAGTAGCTACGAACTTTCACAGCAATTGGCAGAAACAGGTGCTACTTGCTAACAGTCTATAGCTACACTCAATAAGTAGAGTCGGTGGACATATAGAAACACTATATAAGTATAGCAACACACGTGTTGTTTTATCCAATTCAGTACCTCTATATGACAAGTAATGTAAACTCGTCAGTCATAAACCAAACAGATAAGTCATTTCACCATCAAGTTGTGCTATTTGCTTATCAATGGCTGTATACATGATATTGATGATAAGAATAATAGTACAATATTAATACAAGTAATTTCATAACATGGTTGGTGGAGATGGGGTGAGTACATTTAATATATGCGTTCGTTCATTCTACATTTCATCGCAATAGATTTGTTATAGCCTGGGTGCCATCCGATTTGTAACGGCATTCCCGAAAAATTAAAAATCTGCAACCACACCCAAATCGGGTGTACTTCAATTGTGTTATAAACGGTATTGCAACCATTTCTTCACAAAGTTAACGTATGCTATATGGTGATATTTTTTCGAAAAAATAACATGTTGCCGGGGCTTCAGCAGCTACTTTCATCATGCTGTTTTTACATTTATTGAACCGGGACAAATTTTCTCATGATTATTCATGACCCCGTGGACCATATCTACTACTATGATAGTACTATCGGTTGTTTTGAGTACAAATAGTATCATTGCATACTTGTGGGACTTTATAAATTACTGATTTATTATATCATGATTCTCAAACATGGAAACTTGTGAACTAGTTCCATTGTCATCCTGCTATTTTTGGACTTGTGGGACTGTGGACTGTTCATTCTATTGATTGATCAGGGGAAGAAGAAGCCAAGCTAAGAGCAGAGCCAGCATTGCATGTAGTGTTGGGGACAAGGTACATGAAGCGGAGGAGAGACAGTTCAGAGCTTTACGATTTACATCTATATCCTTTAGCAAGCTTTTCCCCTTAAGCTTAGCAGGTCCGGCACATATGATCTGGCTTTCAAATGCATAGGACCCATTCATTAGTTGCTTAAAGGGCAACATCTGACAGTCACACTGCCAGGGGTTGTCATTAATGTGGACAGAATTTTGGGGAACGGAGGCCAGTACTGGAAATACGTCAGCGTTGAGGCTGGTCAACCTATTACGATTGAGACGCAAAGTCTGAAGCTTGATAAGTCCGTCAAATATGCCAGCTGGAAGACTGGTCAACCGATTATGGTTAAGGAACAATGTCGCAAGGTTTCCAAGTCCCTCAAATATGTCCGCTTGGAGACTGATCAATTGATTCTCCGAAAGAAACAAGCTTCGTAATTTACCAAGTCCCTGAAAGATGTCAGCTGGGATATTGGTTAATTGGTTAAGGGCAAAGGCCAGAGCAGTTAAGTTGGTCAACCCATGAAATGTTTCATTATGGATTATAGAAATCTTATTGGCTGTAAGGCGTATTCTTTCCAAGCTTCTATATCTGGAAAAATTAGACTGACTTATGGTTGTGATGTCATTCACACTCAAGTCAAGGGTAGTGATGTTTGTAGGCAGGTACTGTGGGACACTGGTCAGATCTCTGGCCGCAGTAACAGTCAGCTGGACAGCTGCTGCTGCAGGGTTGTGCCGCGGTCGGTCCAGCTTCCTTCAGGACGATCAGCAGGAGAATCAGCATCCTCTTCACCATCATGTTGAACCTCTCAGTGCTATTCTCTCCACTACACACAAGAACATGTTAGTCTTTCTTTTAACGAACAAGCCTCTCATGTACAACGTTGTATACACGTATATTACATGTAGATAGGTTTTGATAAGTTGGAGAGTGCCACCACCTTAATTTCTTATACTATGAAAAACTAAATTTCGGTGTACAATAATTTTGATTTTTGGCTCCCAGTTGCTGCCGTTGCCCACACAACATTGATGTGATCATAGCGAATCTTCAGCGCAAATTATTTTGCTTAGTTTTATTGTGCGAACCATGCGTCCGTGGCCATAAACGTTTCATACCGCATCAGCGGCTGGCGCTGCAAAAACTGTTTAGAATTTGTGTAGCGTGGCTGTCACCAACCTTCGTTCTGCAAGAAAAAAACGCCTCCTCTTGAATGGAAAAGACGTTGCCCAAGATGAGGAGATACCTGAGAAAACAACGATGTAGACACTGAAGTCTTCTTGTACATGTATTTCCAAGGCTCATTAATCGGTGTCATGTGTTAAATCATGGAGTTAGAACTCCGTGGTTAAATGTACTATGTACGGTAGGTAACGTTAAAGGTAGTCCCATAGCCTTAGGGGCAGCGGGTTGTCGAGCCACTGTCTAGGGCACGGTATTGAAATTTCGATGGAGCCCATTCCTCTCCTTCCAATGCCTTTTAGCCACCCAAAGTCAGGACCCATCTTACATCTTGGTGGAGTGAGGAAAATAATGGAAAGTGCCTTTCTCAAGGACACAACAAGGTCTAGTCAGGAATGCCAGGAATCGAACCCGCTCACAGGCTTAGCCATTGGCTGGGTATTCAACGCCACAACTTGTGTAATATTAAAAAGATATTAGAATTTTCATAAATTGACTTAGCTAGATCACAAATAAGCTTAAAGAGCCCATATAAAGCTGTGTTAACTAACGTTACGTGCCTCCTGACAGTGTCCTTGACAGTCATTTCCTCGTCGCCATTTTGATGTTTTTTTTCCCCCAGAATTAATTAATAACCTGAGTAAACCGCCTTTAGCTTAGGTGAACATGTAACACGAGCCCGTTTTGTACACTAGGTACAATCTGTGTAATACTGGGATGTTCGGTTCGAACCACTCACACAAAGATGTGGTAAATACGTAAGTGTGATGGGTTTTCTTTACGTGTTGAAAGTGAAGTCCCCACAAGACCACCTTGCAATTGCCACGTTGCAGGATGTGACGCAGGAACCATATTTTTAACGAATGTTTTACCCAAAAATGAACAAAACACATGTCAACAATCATGTCGAATTATTGGGAACGGTAGGAAGACTCACCGAAGTATATATGGACGTTAGCAGACCTAGGCTCTTCAGTCTGAGTACTTTTGTAAGTCTTGCGTAGTCGTCTTAGTAGCTGTTGAATCTTCACTGCCGTGCAATAGTGGTTGAACTAGGTGCATATTATTTTCTGTGAGCTCACGCTGCCTATTTCTTTAGTTGACCGCAGGTGATGAACCTGAGGTAATTACTGAACCAACCAGGTGAAGGTAATCTGTTGTTTGTATATAGAAGACTGTGACCGTCACGTATCCACAAGCCCTTCTCCAGAGACACCGGAATTGACATATGTGGGTCCTGGCAGCAGCCATGGCTTAGGGGTACTTATTTGTATCAGTTTATATTTATACTTCTGTGATAACAGTTTATCAGTATACACATAAAAATTTATAAAAACTATTTAAGATCGACACCAAAGGCTTGTACTATCGCAGAATAGTGGAGCAAAATGTCAATCTTTTTATGGATTCATGCAGTAGAGAAAGAGGGTGATACAAGCCTAGACCCCACTGGAACATCTTGCACCAAGGCAAGATTCATAATCTAGAATGACTAACAAGAAATTGCTTGTAAAAGTCAGACTAAGTGTTGATAGCATTTTATTATTTCTGATAAATTAATTGATTCACTGCATAATCATACAGGCCATACACATTTTGTTGAATTCCTCTGTACACTTTTCTCTCTTCTGTACTCCAGAGTACTGTAAAAAATCTCAACAGAACAGCCTACTCAGCTGGCATGTAGAGATTGTGAAACACACTCATCATGTTTAGTTAAAACAAGTTATGAAATATAAGCTTACATCTGATATGTCACCAAAATTTACAAAAAGTGATGAAAATATTTTCTGAAGAATGCAATGCAGCACACATGTACATGTCTTTGGAAGAAAGAACAGTACATGACATTGAGTAGTCTGTCATGATTGATGCCAACTCTATTGTATGTACTGGGCATATTATTTATCATTGCACATAAACACTGGCATAGACTTTGTTTAGTAGACTAAGTTTGTAACACAAATCCTATCTACAGCCTAAAAAATTCTGTACAAATAGCAAAATTAGTTGACTGTAACATGTCCATTTGATTAAAACATGTGCTTACTTTTTCACAACTAATTCTATACGACAGACACTCCTCAAGTTACTTGATTGATATATTCTGGTCAAAGGATGCATTCAGCTTGTCATTTTCTTTTTGTTGACCAGGGGAACATGTGTATTTGTGGTAGTATTTAAGATTCAAATATCAATGCACAGGTTACATAAAATTTGGCAATATTCCATCCATCTTTAAAGCTAAGAGTCCCAAACTTTGTAAAACAGCACACTGATCATGAACTGCAAAACCACTCTAACAACTAAACTTGTACATGTTATAGACATGTTTTAAATAATTTCAAAAACAGCAACTGAAATATACTACTTAAATGATAACGTACATTGTACACAAGACTTGTCCCAGTGATAACTATCCTATACAATGCAACACTCTGTTTGCTAAACAGCTTATTTCAGTCTACGAGTTGGTGGATTAGTTGAGTTGGAAGAAGAATTTGCCATTGTAATGATTCAGTCAGAAAAAGGCACAGCAACTTTTGCTATTATGATGGTGTGGATAGGTTGGAGAAGACAGCTTATTTACAAACATGGAACAAATTACATCAACCCATTCAAACTGCTGGTGAGAAACCTAGAGACATACCCATTACCTTAGGGCCCAGTCACATTTGTTGTACGAATGCCATACAGTCACAAACTGAGGGCATTCTTGGGATAGGCATGCATATGTTGTGAAAACTTTAGCTATCTTGTTACAGAAATGGCTGTGACAGTCTTACATCGAAGATCCTTGTCAGAGGTCAATTCTGTCACAGCCAGTTTGAAAATTCTATGACATTGTGCGACAGCCTATAACAAATGTGACTGCACAGTTAGCCCTGCTACAGTTTGGCCTGAGTGCTGAGAAGTTCCCGCATGTCCAGCAGACTCTGGTGGAGGGAGTCCGCTAGTTTATTAGCATCAGTCTCAGGACTGCTGTAGAAGGCAGAGATGCAGAAGTTGAGGTGGTCCTCCCTCGGGTTGTAACAGAACCCGTAACCATCAGGGACCACTGGTCCGAAGCACAGGAACGAGTCGTGCTTGGAAGGAACCTGGAAATATCAAAAGGCAAAATTATAGGCCTGCTGTAAATAATTATTACAGTGTAACAAAGCCTATATATAAATAAAAGTATGCAGGTAAAGATGTCTTTTGTGAGTGCACATGATCAACAAAAAGTTTTCAAAGTTAAACAAAACTATGTGTGTAGCCTTTTCCAAATTGGTGGATAGAAACACTTTCACGAAGTCTCTTACCCTTGTGTTCAATATTGTTATGCATAAATCAAAACTATTTGCAAGTGTACAAACATTGAAACAGGTGATGTACCTTGTAACATTGTTTTAGCCCCTGTGACACAATCAGTAACTCCAACATGAGTCCACCAGATCACAATGGAATCTTCCAGCTAAAAACAAAAGAGTGGCATACCTGGCTGGTGGAAAGTTTGAAGTGTAAGGCCTGTTCATAAGCACTGTCCATGAACAGGTCAGGCACATTCAGGCCTGCCTCGATTGCCGTCAGTTTCAGCCCCAGCAGGTGCCTGTCAATCCCTTGTCCACTCACAGTCTGCAAAAATATAACATGGCCATTAGTCCACCAGACATTTTTAAAAGATAAAGTGATCTCAAACCAGTTTAGCTCAGCAGAGCAAATCTTTGACTGGTCATGTCAAATTGGACAAATGCTAACAGTGTTCACAGGTTCATTTTACTGGAAGAAATTCTGCTACCTCTTTTTGACAACTACAATGAACAGTGGACCATGGTTTAATGTTCCATCGTAAGAATTACAACCCTTTCCAGTAGTGTACATGTTGGGTGAGTGACAACAGCTCGGAAAAGAAAGGTCTATGACTAAAACATTGTGCAGGAGTTTAACATATTATTAGCAGTGTCAGTAAGTCATGTACATACCTCCTGGGCATATTTCTTATGTCCATCGATAGCTTTCTTAAGAAGGGCAACCTTCTCTCCAGGCTGAAAAGAAGCAAAAAATGATAATGGTTACTTATAACATATTAGGATCAATCATTACACTAAGGTGTGAACAACACTCAAATATAAACAAGATTTCAGATCTAGAGACACCCTTTGACCTCCCATCAGTCTGCCTGTCATCTTCCCCCACCCACATGCTGTCAACCTACTCTGTGCAAACAAACAAACCCGCAGCTCCGCCACCCAAAGCAATACCTCTGTACCCAGGAAGTAACAACAGAAGGGAGGCTGACTTACAGGAACTCTGCTGTCTTCCATAGCTTTGCAGAACTCCAGTGACTCCACAGACGCTGACCGTATGGTGTCCGTTCTGCCCAGGTGGAACATACGTGTCGACCCACTCTCGTATGTCGCACAGGGAACCTTGTACAGTCTGGGCGGGATGAAGAGTTCAATGGTGTAAATCACTAATGTATGATTCTTTTACTAACAAATAAATAATGCCTTGGGAAAGTCTTGCAAGTCTAACACATATATTATAAAATTCAAACTAGTTCAAATTTACAGAATAATGAATCACCTGGGTCACCTTCAGGCATACCCCTATCAATCAACTGTCTAAATCACCTCCCACACACCATGGAACAGAAGCTTAGACAGGCAAATCAAAAACTCAGCCACCCAAAGCAATACTTCTGTATCTAGAATAATAAAGTACTGTTACATAGGTCCTGTTAAAAAGAGTTGTAACTTGTACTCACTTGAAGTAGGCTAACTGCAGGGCAATTTGGATGTAGCTGTCTGGACTCATTTTCTGTGACTTAGGGAAGCCCTTTCCATATTCAAAGAAGGTCACTGGCTTCATGTCCAAGTCCTTCACTTGGCTGTACAGTAGGTCAAAGACAAGCAAAGCATCATCAGCAAAATTTAAGCCACACTGCTGAAGATACTGTGCACATGTCATGGTACATTTAGCATTAGTCTATAACGTTAGATCTACCTAATGTTTCTACGTATATTACTGGAGAGTTTGACTTCTTCTTTGGAGTGATTGTCTTTCATATAAATCATTACGTACACATCAAGGTTCCTCTTTGCATTGTCAATGGCCTCTAGAATATTTTCATTTGTAGTGAAGGGTAGTCTTTCAGGCTCCTTAGGTTCCACTGTTGTCTCCTTTATTTCTGGAGCTTGAGAGCTGTAGACAGGAAGAAAATATACAAGACACCGTGTTTTTTGATACTTAGATATAAGGTGATGTAGTGGTACAGAAACATCTGTACGAAAAGTGGTACAAAAACAAAAAGAAGAAATCAAGGATTTAACAGCTGTGTGAAGTACGTGTATATAGAGCTATTGTAAATTGCTTTAAATTTGATTCTGTGCATACTCCACTGTCACTTCCTCCCAGTGTCCAGAGAGACCATTTTGACCTCCAAATCGACCTTTCTGTCAGTCCTTTACCTCCATAACTCCCTGTAACTCTACTGTATTCAAATAACTATGAACACACAGTACAAACAAACAGACACACTGAAAACAAAATCTCTGTACACAGAGGCAAGAAAACAGAACAAAACAAATAGACACTCTGGTTAGTCACCACTCACCAGTAGTCCACCATGTGATCTAACAGGGAGATGATGGGAGGACCTTCAGCAGGGGAATGTTCATATGTCAGGCCGATGGCTCCGTCTGTCCCCACAGTAAACTGGGAAGGAACATGTGTGGTTAATCATGTTGTAAAATTATGTTTGAATTTGAAGAGAATGCAGGATGATTTGTATTGTGATGAGGTCAAAATAGCTTGGCAAAGAAAGTTGATCAATGAAGGAAAACTTTTCACAAACCACAGATGTAGGAACATATACATTTGTACATCGACCTTTCCATACACACACACACACAGATTCCCTTCTTCACATACACAGATTCCCTTCTTGGGCTCTTACCATTTTCCTAGAGTTTTGAACTTTTGCTATGATTTACCTGCAGTGTTTTGTCGAACCACCTGTTCCCACTGTTGAGTTTGCTCCCTCCCCCGTGCATGAGCTGGTGAGCCATACTGGCCTTCCTGTCCTCTCCCCTGGACACCTCCTGATCCAGACACAGCATGAAGATACCCTTGTTGATGGCATCCAGCGTCGCTTTGTTTGCTTTGTCTAAAGATAACAAAAAACAAGAAATTGATGATCTCATTCCTCAGTGAAACTTTGTATGACTTAATGCCTTATTTATCATTGTGATTCAGCATGCATTTTCCCACTGGCTCCCATAAAGCATATACTAGTAGCAGGAAAAGAGATAACCTTTTTTTTGCCCTTCTTTTGACCTACACATGTAACATCCTGTAAGTAAGTGTCCCTAATGTGCCTAGCATGTGGTCCATTCAAACCACAGAAATGCAAGCAAACACACAGACACACCAAAAACAGAACCTTCATACATGGAGGTAAGAAATATTCCATTGAACTGATACAGCTATTGTAGAGCATTGTTTACATAGTACCGGTAATAGGAATAACTGGGTTGCACAGTTTCAGACATCTTAATGACCTTTCTTCAGCAGCTTGTAGACCTTCCCCCATGTGTTCCTGTTCTCTGTGGTGAGAATGCCCACAGGTTCACTGGGGTACCTGGAGTAGTATACGACCTTCTGTAGCTGTGCATGGATCAGGTCCTGACTCAGGGGCTTCCAGTTCTCATCATACACGTCTAGGGCAAAGAACTGTAAAGAAATAAAGGTACAGAGGGTTGCAAAGCAGTTAGAAATACACAGACTAATGTGGCGGTTTGAAGAAAATACAAATTCATTGTGTTCTAGTTAAGCTCCTGTTGCAGATTCAGGACCTTCCCATTTCTAACCAACTTATTTGTAAATCCCTTTGACATCATGACTGACCTTGTTGTTGTGCACCACCACGATGTGCCTGGGCCTGATGTTGCTGCCTGGTCCGTACACCACCACCTGGTCACGCCGCTCCCCCGGGATCCGACAAGCGGAGAAGAGTTTGTAGTACTGGTCCATGCACAGGAAGTTCTTCCCAAGCTTGTCAATGGGCACAGATTGGCTGGGAAAGTGTGTGCATAGATTATAACCTTTCACATGAAAAAATGTTCAGTACAAGAAGATTGCAGGAAACACTAAACAATTTGTAAATCATGGTGAAGGTAAATTTACAGTATTTACTTACTTGTCTATTTGGACTTTGTAATCCAGAAGACCAGCAACCATTTTGGCAGCAAATCTACATGTACAGAGTGGAAGATCAGTACACATGCCAACATTGGACAAAACTACATAAACCAGTAACAGAAAAATACTCATATATTAGAACAGACTCAGTCCTGTGTCCTTTGCATAATGATTTACATATTTTATAATATAGCACAACAGATGAGTGATTATGTTTCTTATTCCTGCTTTTTTTTCTTGATAAGAATGACTTACTTCAGCTGTGCCTCCTGACCATTAAACTCCTGAGGTGGACACACGATACCAGGGCTCACGTGCATGACAACCGGCATCCGGAAGTCCAAGTACGCCGTGTGGAGCCACCAGTCAGCCAGCTACAGATACAAAGTAAGGTAAGGAAATTCAAGTCAATGTCACAAAAAAATGGTGTTAAGACACCTTGAAGTTCCTTTTAATTTCTAAATCCATTCTTAATCCATAAAATATCAGAGTTGTGACAAATAAGCAAAAAGTTTTGAAGAAGATACATTACTTAACAACTCACCCAACTCTGTCTTTCCAATGCCCTCATCTGAAGTTTGGCCTGTAGACTCTCTCCAAGACCTCCTGGTTTGCCGAACTCCTCTACTAACTGCAAAAGAACAAAACCAATATGAGATTGACTGTATACTCATATACAGGCTCTATTTTTGGAAATCTCTACTTTTTTTGTTAAAATTCAAGTACAGAGTGACAAAAAAAGTATTATACCTTCTTTGGATTGATGAGCCCTTAATTATACATGTATAGGATATGAATAACATCAAATTTCAGTTAGTTAAACTCAGTTAGTGTGATTGAGAACAAAGAAATGCTGATAAGCACATCAGTAGATCCTGCTCACCTTTGTTGTGTGCTGAAACTCGTCCTCCTCTAACAGTGGCCTGACAGCCCTGAGGTACTTGTCCAGAGTCTGAGACAGTGCTGGGACAGGCAGGCGGGGCAGGTTGGCCTGGTGAGCCAGCATCCTCCCTGCCGGCAGGACCGCTCCACGGAACAACTCCGGAGCCTTCCATGGCTGCTGCTTGGCACCAAACGACTTCACCTGAGGAGCAAGAAAATCATTGAGAAGTGAGAAAAAAAATCTACAATCCTACCAGGGATTTCTCCAGCTTTAAGTCCATCTCAGAGTTCAGTAACTTATTTGGGGTGGTGCTGGGGGGGGGGGGGTTAGAGCGCCACTCCTAGGGGGGGGTCCTAGTCTACCTCCACAGATAGAACATTCAAACCAGGACTTATCAAATGTTGAACCAACTTATTCAACAAGTAGGCCTAGGCTATACCCCATACTACGGTGGTACACAATACAATAGCACAGACTGAGACAGGAACAACTGTACTTATCTCAGCTGTTGAGCTTTTAGTCTGTTTATATATGTAGTCGGTATTGGAATTAACAAATAAAATGGATTGCTTGACAGTTGATTTAACACATTGAAAAGTGTCCTTTTACTGATGGTTACCAGTGAGATAAACTGACATTTAAAAAAAAACAGGATTGTGGAAAATCACACTGTGACTATAGTTTCAGTAGACAGCATTGCAAAATGATAGATTAGGCAAATAAACATGAAATATATGAAGATATCTGCCCTCAGCTTGTTTGCAAGTGTGTTACTAGTATGTTATTGAATATTACAATATACATGTAAAATAGAGCTCAATTTATGAGAAAAAAATCTAAATTAAGTACCTTAATCAAAGTGAAAGTGATCTCAAACCAGTAGCTTAAATGGACTTAATTTGAATATAGACAAGCAGTGCTACTCTTGACAGATAGCAAAGGCAAGACACTCATAATCTTATACTGAGTACTACTTTAAATTTGTAACAGAGGAAATAGCTCAACATGTACAATGAACACTGAACTGAAAATGAATACTGAACATTAGCTAAACATCCTGTCTACAGAACTGCAACCCTTTCCAGTATAGCATAATCATGTCAGGTGCATGAGCAACAAAAGCCAGGGTTACGTTCAAACTCATGACTTCCTGGTCCAGAGGCAAGTTCTTACCACTGGACTATACATGCTACACTTCACAACAACACATCTTCTAACCAACACTTCTAATGGTACCTTAAGGTAACATACCTCAAATGCGTCATCATCAATTATTCTGTCAAGTGAAGGACCTGCATTCAAAGGTGCCACTTTGTTCTTCTTATTGATGTGTAACATGGGAAAACAGCAGTGGATGGCAGTCATTGTATCTCGGAGATTTAGTCTGGTAGATTCTGAAATCTGCTTTACTGGTACAGGTTGGTTCTACCTGTCCCCTTGGTTTAATGATTTGAAAACACAAATGGCAAAAGCACATGCACCAAATATCCAGTCACATGATGTACATTTAGGTCAATGGATCCTCACTGCTAGTCACACTCCTGACGTCAGCCCATATTTACATCCAGATTTGTAGATGGGGAAGCCTTGTTGAGAAATTATGCTATCAATGACGTGCATCTGTTACCATATCAAGAAAGACGTGGATGGCCCTTCTTTGTTTACAATGTTGTTCTAATTCTGCACATCGGGCTGTCTAGTCCGAGGTCTGGCTCAGGAAACTTTCAGGAGCTTTGCAGATACATGTACATGTATTGATTCAGCTCTTCCTCAAGCAAGGGGCAGAGTCATGCATTGTGGTGAGGAAATGGAAGACAGTATCTTCAGAAATCCAGAACTCAGATTCCATATGCACCTGTAGCTTGTTTTGTACACCGCCTCCCTTCAAGACTAGCACTGGTACTCCAAATGCAGATTGCTCCAGCAGTCCACGCCAAATTACACCCAGTTGACAGATGATTGCCGAAGAAATTAATGCACAAAATCATCTTTCTCCATACCATACGCCATCATGACACACCTGCTATGTTCCGCAAATGCCCAAACACAAACGATGACCGAATACAACAAGCATTCAACGAGGTGTTAAATGTTGTGAAGCTGCAGTCTTTACACCTCAGGTGAGAAATTTCCCAAACTTTGCCTGGCTGTGCTGGCTGTTAACTCTTCAAGTGTCCAGCAAGAGACATAACTGTGCCATGACCTAACCTAGACCTGTCTGCCTTGCCACTAAAACGCACCTCAGATAGAACTTTGCTGTGACTGCACAGGGTTCTTTCCCGTCTAATTTTGGAGAGGTGACCTGGTCCCAGTAAAAATTGCCATTCATATGCTAATGGCTAACAAAAGACAGGTGCACAGTTACAGTAACCAGACACAACGTTACAACCTCACACAATAAACACATACCTTTGTGTAGAAAGTGAAGTGTGCCCTTGTCTTGGGGTCATATATCATGGCCTTTGTTAGGTTGGGGGAGGGGGGCAGTTATTAGTCAGATCAGGAGATACCTGACTGTGACCAGTTGGCAGCAGTCCAGGATTTGTGTGCTTTCTTAATTGAATTTATAACAAACAAATATCTACAAGTATATCAGGAAAGCTATTCATATGATACTTAGAGAAGTTTAACAAAAAGTTGGTATGCACACACATACATATACTTAACAGGTAGTTACTGGAGCCAAAAGAATCTCAAGAAATACTGCCTATGACACCTTTATTCCTATAAAATGTATTATCATGCTGAATTTAGCATAAATGTAAGTGTGGTCAGGATCCCCCATTCAGGGCCCTCCTCTAGGGGAGTTGATTTGACAACAAATCTTATCAACATATCAAGTTACTGAACCATCACAATGACCATGAAAAGTCAGAGGTCATACTCCCAAACCAGTTACACAGTTATAATGAATATCACCATATTCATGTGAATATCATGGCATTCTGTAAATAGGGGCTTGACTATAATTTGATATAAATGTAAATGTATACTTTAGGTAGTCATTGGATATTCAAACGGCTGTTACTAGTGTTAGATGAGTAAGTTGTTACAGTGACTTGCATGTGCATTAGATAAATTAATGATGTTGTAAATTAACCGGTACTGCACAAACATGCGGCCTTTGCTTTGGTATTGTCCTAATCCCAGGGACCCCCTATACTGAAATCATATTTTAAGCAATTGAAGTACAATATTTTGTTGCAAGAAATGTTGCAAAGACTGCACATGTGTTCAATAGTTTATATTATGTTAACTTACAACTCACCATATCAAACCAATGTTGTATGTATCAACTCCCAGCAGAAACAACTCAGCAAGTCTATGTACAGGACTTATGCAAACAGGATATGAAAGACTGTGAGAGTACTGCACACGTGGCACGTAGTCCAGCCAGGGTTGATTATTGATTCAAAACATACAGTACTGCTTCCTCTGTAAGGCCTTGGAAAATCAATGTCGTGTTTCTGATTATAGAATTAGGGTTGGTAGGTAAGGCATTCCCCCTCTTTTTTTATGTGTATCCAGGATTACCTGAAAAGCAGGCCAAAATGGCCTGAGTTGTAATTACTGGTTAAATAAATAAATTGAATTGAATTGAAATTGAAGACCTCTGTTGAAATGTTTGTAAACTTTGACAAATACTTTTCAAAGTTAAGTTCAAGTTTCAAGTTTTACAATGTAAAACGGAAATGCATCAGGACTGTCCGGTACATTGTATTTTCAACATCATAATTTAATGATACAGAATCTGATGTGCAACAATTGTTGTTATTTTTTTAATTGACAATCCTGAAACAATGGGGGTAATCAACACAGATATATATAGCAGAGGCCAAGCTAACATGGGGTCATTGCCCTTAAGGACATCATCTACATTGCCCTTAAGGACGTCATCTACATTGCCCTCAAGGACGTCATCTACATTGCCCTTAAGGACATCATGCACATAACGTTACATGTAGAATATTACAGATTGCATATGAAATGCCTTGTTTGACAGCAAAGATGGTTTGACCCTTCAAGCAAATGGATCATTTAATGTAGCCTTATACTGTTATGGCGATGGAGGATAGAGACTACTGGGCAGCCATTGTGGTTCGGGTGGCAGAGGAGGAGTGGCAGAGGAGGAGTCAAGTAAGTCAAGTATACTGTTATAGCTATTGAAGTAATCCACACTCTACTTGCAGAGGAACAAAAATGCCCCATGAAGAAAGAAGATGAATGCATCAATTTGCATAACTTGATAAAATAACGTATATATGTGCACCCTGGGAGTGGCACTGTAGCAAATCATTGTTATTTGCCACGTCACATATTCTATTAAAACTGCATTTTGGAGTCAGCAAGGAGTAGGGCTAGCTAAGATTATTAGTGAGAATTAGCCTAAGGAATTTTCTACGACCAATAATTTTATCCATGCACACAACTGAACATCCACATCTCTGCATCATGCTGGCAAACGCCCACCCAAAAATTTCAATCCTCCTGACCCGGATATAGCCCTACCCCCCCAACCCCCAAAAA